GTGTTTCAAAATTCAAAATGGCGGACAAAGAAATAAAAAATTGATAAGATTGGCTTGAAACTGAATACTTGGGGATTTTCAGGGTCGCTGATTACGAATCTAAAATCAGTTTTTCAAAATTTAAAATATCTGGTTCAATATGGCAAAATTTTTTTTTAAATTTATTGAATTTGTTTGAAACTGGTTAATCTGACATCAGTATGATAATTTTTTGTGAAATCAAATTTCGATAAATACCCTGAAAAAATAATGACAGATTCGTAATCAGCGACCCTCAAAACCCCCAAGTATTCAGTTTCAAGCCATTATAACTAATTTTTTATTTTGTCGTGCGCCATATTGGATCCGCCATTTTGAATTTTGGAAAACTGATGTTAGATTCGTAATTAGCAACCCTTAAAACCCCCGAGTAACAAGTTTCAAGCAAATTCGTCGAATTTTGAAAAATTTCCGCCATCTTGGATCCGCCATTTTGAATTTCGAAAAACTGATGTCAGATTCGTAATCAGCGACCCCAAAAACCCCCGAGTACTACGTTTCAAGTCAATCTGGTCAATTTTTTATTTTGTTGTCCGCCATATTGGATCCGCCATTTTGAATTTTGGAAAACGAATGTCATATTCGTAATCAGCGACCTCGAAAACCCCTAAGTAACCCGTTTCAGGAACATTTAAGAAGTTTTTAATCACCTTTTTTAAGTTGCGCATATATGCGTCATAAACCACTTTTGTCCAGTTTAGTTTTGCGCATACATATATGCGTCAGCGACAGTCAACGGGTTAAATAGATTTTTTTAAATAAATATTTATTTATTATCCATTATTTTTCCATTTAGGTATTCAAATTTCAAAAAAAATTCAAATTTCAAATTCTTTAAATTTGAATAATTTTTAAGAATTGCTACTGTAACTTATTACAAATTATTTTCAAAATTTCAATTCAATTATATTCTAGTAACTAAAATATTTCTAAAATCCACTTGTTTACAAGACAATTTCATGAAATTTGGAATAACTTGAAAGTTTTTTAATTAAATATTACATATTTAAAAACATAACTAATTTGAAAAAATGTGAATTAAAATAGTTTGAAAAACTAACTTATTCAGAGTTTTTAATTAAAATCTTTCAAAATTCAACTATTCTAAAACTTCAATTTGAATTTTTTTTAAATTCAATCTAGGGTAACTGTACCAATTGTCGAGGGTTTTAGGCAACATTTGACTTTGGCATTTTTTTCTCGGACGTAAATGCACTTCAAAATTTGATTGTTGTACATTTGAATGAAGGATTTAATAATGTTTAATATTCATATTCATTTTTTTAATATAAACTAAATTGTTAAGCAAAAATTATATTCAAAAGTCAATTGAACAAAAGCACCATTTGTCGATGGTCTTGTACTAATTTCTCGATGGTCTGTTCCAATTTTCGAGGATATGACATTTTTAAACATATAACTAAACAAATAACCTGTATCGATGTTTAAAAAATCGAGTAGATATTTATTTTTTCGATGAAAATATTATAGAACATTACCAGGTTGATTATCTGCGTAGGTTGTAAATTTTTGGAGAGTTTAGTTTTTTCTTCTCTGTACTTTTTTCGTTTTTCTTCAAAATTTTTAATTCTGCCTTTCGTTATAAATAAAAGGTTGGAATCTATGTTTGACGTTTAATAAACAAATACTTAACCATCGACAAATGGTGCATTAGCGAAAAAACTGACTACACCAATTTTCGAGTCATTACCTCGAAAAATGGAACTGACAAAAAAAGTAACCAAATACCGATGATTTGCTTTTTAAAAATATTAAATATTTTTTTTAACAAGAAAACATACCTACAAAATTAATTAAGTTTTTATATAATATTATAATAATAATTTCGTACATAAAAAGTAATTAGAAATACGTTTAAGTTGTATTTCTAAAAATCTGTTTCAATCAACCTGAAGTATTAAGAAAATGTCGATTCGAGTAAATTTGACAGCAGTGAATTATAATTTTAATTAAATAATTATTTTAGTAGTATTGCTATAAAATTTGAATATGTAAATATACAATTAAAAATATAAAGATTATTTAGAATCTTTTTTTGTTTTTAAATATTCTATATTGTACTATTTATCGGAAAAAGAAAATTATGATCCTAGACAATTGGTGTACCCTCGGCAATTGGTGCAATTACCCTATAATAATATTAGTAATTTTAAGGGCTTATGCCACTCTAGGATTTTAAAAAAATCGATTTTTTTTGCATTAAATAGTCCCTTAGGGTATCAGAAGTAACATATCGTAGTATTACGGCTAGGGAAAATCTCTAAGTAATTTATTTTCGTATTTTCGTAGCGGCGAGGTCCTTTTGTTAGCGCGCTACGGGAGGTGATCTTTGAAGGATCTAAAGCAGGTATAAGGTAGATGTTTGTAATGACGCTACTTACCTGTCTAAACTATAGTCTATTCTACACAATTTGGCTTCACAAACAGTATGCAAGCGTCTGTTTCAGTCAGTTAGGCATAGCCAAGCATGTGAATGTTTTTTACAACTTAAACTTTAAACGCGATTATCTGAAAACTACATTTTTCGAGTTGGCCGCACTAACAACTCGTACAATTTTCAACCGATTAAGTTCAAACTTCACAAACATCTTTGAAAATATATTTTTTAAGGCATCACGTAGGTTTTTTTTTATTTTGTATTGTTCATTTGTTATTAACAATTTACTGACGATTTTTTGGTAGAATTTAGAAAGGTTAACTTTAGAAGTGCGCCATTTGACCATAAATCAATATATCGAAAAAATCCTACGTGTTGCTGTAGCTATTGTAATGTACAATAAATAAAAAATTATATACTCAAGATATTTCAAAATTTACAGAAACAGTTGTTGCGGCCACGGACCATATGCGCCACAGAGATGTCGACGGAAAACACCAACAGCGTCGCCATTTTTCATTAAATTATTATGAAAATTTATATTTTTAAACTTCAAAAGATGTACAATAAACTCCTCATATTCCAATTTTAATTGACTTTATAAATTCTCTGAAAAAAATTCACAAAAAATGCCTATTTTTTCGGTTTCTAGAGTGGCATAACCCCTTAATTTAACATTCTAAAATATAGAAAAATTTGCTTATGAATAATTGTATAAAAAACTAATTAATATTAATGCAAAATACGGTTTTTTAAAAACTTAATTTCTAAGAAAAAAAATTTTATCTTTTGTTATAATATTATTGCAAAAAAATTTTTTAAATTGATTTATTTTTCACTATTTTATAGGATGTGAAATTTTTTCTCTTTAAAATTTTTTTGACAAATTTAATTAAAATTATATTTTGTTTAATTATTGTTAGAAATAGAAATAATTTAAAATTAAATTGAATATTTTCTTTTTCTAAGTCTGTTACGTTGGACAACAAAATTCAAAATTTTCTTATAAATTCTAGAAATTGAATATTTTTATAGTACTTTTGATAAAATTCCCTGACAAAATAAATAGATTTTATAGAAGATCATTCAATCTTTTTTAATGAAATACTAGTCACTTAATAGACTGCCTACTGGTTGAAAGAAAGCCTTTGAACAATAGGCCAGGTACTCGAGCAGACCTTTCGTTTCTCTTTAAATTTTATATATATATATATATATATATATATATATGTCGTAGGCAAATAGAAGAATCCGTCATTTAGCTAAACGCCTAGACAGTTAGTTAGTCGGCGCCGAATAGACGAACGAGCTTCAATATTACTATTATTCGTCTATTCGCCTGAAAGGATCAGGCAATGAGCTGTTGGCTAGGCATTTAGCTATAGTCGACAAACGCAGTTTAGGCCAATAGAAGAAAATTATATATTTAATAAAATTTTCATTTATTGAAATATTGGAACGCTTTATTTACAAGTTTTTCCATTGCTATAAAATTAAAATACTTATTGATTATAATTTAACACAATTATTATTATTAAAATTATTTATATTATTATTATTTTTCTGTTACTATTCTTTCTAATTATAATTATTCCTAATTAAATTAATTATAACTGTAATCAGCAGCAAAACAGTCTATCAGTGGAGGGCAGGGATTTAGGAAATGTAATAAATAAAAACGACCACAAACGGAATTTTTAAATTAACAATCATTCAAATATTTTCTTTTTAAAGTTTGAACAATTTTGTGTAATCAGTGTAAGTTTCATTAATTTATTGTAAACGGCTTTTGAGTTAATTATTTTTTAAAAATGTTGTAATATTTTGTTAATAAAAAAATAATAAAAATGTTAAATTTCAAAAAACGGTTGAAAGTATTTTTTTTTTTTGTGAACTACAGATTTTTATAAAAGTTTTAACATTTTAGAAAATCAATGAAATTTTTTTAACACAGTTGAGCTGGTCTGACCCTATAGCAATGGAAAAACTTGTAAATAAAGCGTTCCAATATTTCAATAAATAAAAATTTTATTAAATATATAATTTTCTTCTATTGGCCTAAACTGCGTTTGTCGAATAGCTAAATGCCTAGCCAGTTAGCTAATTGCCTGATTCCTTCAGGCGAATAGATGAATAATAGTAATATTGAAGCTCCTTCGTCTATTCGGCGCCGATTAGCTAACTGCCTAGGCGTTTAGCTAAATAACGGATTCTTCTATTTGCCTACGACATATATATATATATATATATATATATCTTTCAAATATCTTTTGTCTCCTTCTTTCTAGATACTAAATAACATTATCGGTCTCTGTTTATAACACAGAAAATCTAACGCTATTGTTTTCTTTCTCTTTCGAAAGTAAATAACATTAGAATGTCTCTCTTTACCTAATTTGCATATCTACTCGTTTCATAAAAGGACAAAATAATGTGTTTTTAAAAAAAAATTTCCAAAATTCCCTGTCATTTCCTGGTCCAGCGGCCACCCTGAATAAATTCGGCAATATGATACAAAAAAATAAACAAATAAAATTATTATGTTAGGTATTAAATTCCAAACCTTAACTCCTTCATCTTCTTCATCTTCTTCCGGATCATAAGTTTCAGCAAAAACACTCTTCCTCCTTTCGGTATTGATCTTTTTTGGTTCTGCAAATGTCAGGAAAAATATGTATTATCATAATATTCTAAGTACCTATTTAGTTTGTAAATAACATTAGAAAAAACCGCTGCCATCTAAATGTACTGATAGCTTTACCGTTTTGATTATTTCGTGAAAACATTGTTTCCTCATAAAGGTTGACATTCTTTTCTGATAATTATTGGTTTTTCGAAATTTTCGATTCTTTGAAAACACAAGCCTGCAAAAAGATAAAAATTTCCGTTGTCTGAGATCGCGAAGTCATTTCCAGCAGTATTTGATGCGCTGAATTTAAATCTGGCGACGAAAACCTTCTAGAAAAGTGGGGGTAAATTCCCAAAAATCATGTTTTTCGCAGTTTTTGAAAATTTCTACCAGATAAATCCGACGTGCTAGAAACTTGTCATAGGAGTTAAATTAAATCATTTTAAAAAATGATTGGATTCACTTAGAGTTTCTTACTCTGTGGTTTTCGGGGTCGCTGATTACAAATTAGATGTAAAAATAAAAAAACTGTGGTCAGATTCATAACAAATGACCCCGACAACCCTCGAGAAACGGGTTTCAGGCAATTTGAATCGATTTTTAACAAGTAGTCCGTCATACTGTATCCGACATTTTAAATTTTGAAAATCTGACAACATATTCGTAATCAGCGACCCTGAAAACCCCCGAATAACAAATTCTAAGGAATTCATCCAATCATTTTTTAAAATAGTGAGTCAGTTTTTATGTTTGCCAACTGTTGAAAAAATCATTTGTGACAGCTAATTTAGTTGTTAGCAATATCGCTATATCTTCGTGAAGTACAGGGTTAAAGCGTCGGATTTACCCGGTAGACATTTTCAGAAACTGTGAAAAACATGATTTTGGAGAAGTTACCCCCTCTTTTCTCAAAAACCTGACGTGATGAGAGGTTTTCATTGCCAGATTCGGATTCAGCGTACCAAAATCTGCAAGAAATGACTTCTCGATCTCAAACAAAGGAATTTTTTTTTGCAGTCTTGTGTTATTTACTATATATAATTGAACATTTTTATTAACTCACATTGAACAAAATTATACTTTATGTTTAAATTATTATACAAACATTTCAAATAACAGCATATATTATCGATGTCTTAAATAAATCGATTTTCTTGAAATTTTGAGAAAATGTTGAGAAAATGCGCATTAAATGTGGTAACAACTTCAAAACCGTTTGCGATTCTAAATTTTGAGTTATTCAAGTTTAGGCCAGTCGGTGAGTGCAAAAACTGCCCATAAATGCAAACAGCAAAGTCTCAACGGTTTCTGGTAGTTTGGGGGCTCCTTATAAGAGCCCCACAGTTTGCTCTCGATTTCCGGGTGCGAAAAACAATGTAAACAATCGCCAAAGTTTGGAAAACATGGTTTTTCGATGCTCGTTGCTTCCGGTTAAGTTTTAGGGGAAAAAGTTGTTATTGAAAGTTATAGAGCTTGGAAATACCTTTCAAATAATGGGTCATACGTTAAAAAAGGTTAATTAGTTTAGTTGCAAATGAATTTAAACCATTAAAAATAGCACTTCTTTAATTGTTTAATAACTTTGTTAATAATTATCGAATTTGTTCATAACTTACCAGGAATGTTCTCCTTGCGTAGCTGAATAAATCCCAAAAAAAATTAACTAGATCGGAGAAATAGTTTATGCATAATTCCATTTGTTAACTAAAAACATGTAATTTTTCAACGGAATTTCCCCACTTTTGGTACAACGAATTTCGATTTTTTTTTTGGAAAGTACACTTAAGAAGTCAAACTTTCATCCTATTTAAATGGCCAATTGATTTTTTTTATCTAAGTGCATAATAAAAAGGGTTAAAAAAGGGTGTGTTTTTTTGTCATAAACAAATGGAATTACTCAGCCAATTTTCACTTTATCAATTAGCTATAAACGGCATATAATTCCATTTGTTTCCACAAAACTTTTCAAAAAAAAATCCGACCTAAGTTGAAGGGGAGGGGGAGTTAACTTTTTTTTTTAAAAAAATTCCTGACAAGTTAATTATTGATATTTTTTATTGAAACTCGCACGACTTTTAGTTCAAAACGTGTATTTTATGAAAAAAAATTGAACTTAACGTTTTGTGCTTTTATTTTTCATTTATATCAAGTGAAAGTACTTGAATATTTTTTTCAACCCTTGGACGGCGGAGTGGGGGAACTCGGTAGGCGGGAATTTCGCCCGCCACAAACAGAATTCAGCCGTCAAATCCACAAAAATGGTCATAACTTCGTTAATTATTGACCGATTTTAATCTTTTTTTTTTTAATTCCATGTATTTTTTTATGCTGAATCCAAATATGAATTTATATAGGGTAAGTGTGCCAATTATGGCGCGGTTCTGGTTTAGCCGTCTTTGAAATAGAAAATTCAAAAATTATAATGAAAGCAGTAAATTTATGGCTTATTAAACTAAAAGCCCGTGTCATATAGATAATAAAACTTTTATAAAAACTTTATAAAAATTAATTATTTAAACAAAATTAAAGCAATAAGAATTAGGATTAAAAATGTCAATTATGGCGCGGTTGAGTCAATTTCGGCGCGCCAATTACGGCGGGGAAAATAACGTGTATTTAGAGGTTGTGTTGCGCGCCATAACTGGAGCACGCACATTCAATGAAAATGTGCCAATTATGGCGGGGCACAATTTTTGTACTTAAATAATTAAACCAATAATAGTTCAAATGTGTTTTTTTTCGTACAATTATATCGAGTAAGGTCGAAAATAACTTTTTCTATCATTTTCAAATAACTATATTATTCTAAAATAGTAAATAATTCTATTTTTTACAAAGTCGCCATAATTGGAGCACCCGCCACGATTGACACACTTATACCCTATTTTTTAAATAAAATATTTTTTGTAGAAATAAAAATTTTTTTTTTTAACAACAAATTTTTATTATTATTTATTATATTTAACAAAGATTTTTCTTCATACATCTTATTTCATTTAATTTAAAATAATGTTATTTAAAAAAAAAACTAAAATTATTTACTAATAAGCGTGTAGCATCGAGTTTAAGCGTTGTAGTGGCAAAATACGCTTAAACAACGCTTAAACTCGATGCTACACGCTTATTGGTAAATAATTTTAGTTTTTTTTTTAAATAACATTATTTTAAATTAAATGAAATAAGATGTATGAAGAAAAATCTTTGTTAAATATAATAAATAATAATAAAAATTTGTTGTTAAAAAAAAAATTTTTTATTTCTACAAAAAATATTTTATTTAAAAAATATATAAATTCATATTTGGATTCAGCATAAAAAAATACATGGAATTAAAAAAAAAAGATTAAAATCGGTCAATAATTAACGAAGTTATGACCATTTTTGTGGATTTGACGGCTGAATTCTGTTTGTGGCGGGCGAAATTCCCGCCTACCGAGTTCCCCCACTCCGCCGTCCAAGGGTTGAAAAAAATATTCAAGTACTTTCACTTGATATAAATGAAAAATAAAAGCACAAAACGTTAAGTTCAATTTTTTTTCATAAAATACACGTTTTGAACTAAAAGTCGTGCGAGTTTCAATAAAAAATATCAATAATTAACTTGTCAGGAATTTTTTTAAAAAAAAAAGTTAACTCCCCCTCCCCTTCAACTTAGGTCGGATTTTTTTTTGAAAAGTTTTGTGGAAACAAATGGAATTATATGCCGTTTATAGCTAATTGATAAAGTGAAAATTGGCTGAGTAATTCCATTTGTTTATGACAAAAAAACACACCCTTTTTTAACCCTTTTTATTATGCACTTAGATAAAAAAATCAATTGGCCATTTAAATAGGATGAAAGTTTGACTTCTTAAGTGTACTTTCCAAAAAAAAAATCGAAATTCGTTGTACCAAAAGTGGGGAAATTCCGTTGAAAAATTACATGTTTTTAGTTAACAAATGGAATTATGCATAAACTATTTCTCCGATCTAGTTAATTTTTTTTGGGATTTATTCAGCTACGCAAGGAGAACATTCCTGGTAAGTTATGAACAAATTCGATAATTATTAACAAAGTTATTAAACAATTAAAGAAGTGCTATTTTTAATGGTTTAAATTCATTTGCAACTAAACTAATTAACCTTTTTTAACGTATGTCCCATCATTTGAAAGGTATTTCCAATCTCTATAACTTTCAATAACAACTTTTTCCCCTAAAACTTAACCGGAAGCAACGAGCATCGAAAAACCATGTTTTCCAAACTTTGGCGATTGTTTACATTGTTTTTCGCACCCGGAAATCGAGAGCAAACTGTGGGGCTCTTATAAGGAGCCCCCAAACTACCAGAAACCGTTGAGACTTTGCTGTTTGCATTTATGGGCAGGTTTTGCACTCACCGACTGGCCTAGTTCAAACTTCACCTTCTACATGCGATTATGTTAAAAATTAAAAATGTCAACCTCAATATCTCGTTTTCTGACATAGCAAAGGGATCTGAAATTTTTACCTCATTTAAAGTGAACGCAAAGAAACATTTCTTCAAAATTTTAAGAAAATTTATCGAGAAACAATTTTTTCAAAACCAGCAGTTAGAGAACCTCCTTAACTTGATAATATCACGTGTATTAAATTTCGTTCTGAGAAATAAAATTTTTGCTTTTTGTAACCGATAATAAAGATTATTAAACCGACAGATTAGCTCAGTCGGATAGATTATTAATTTTTTCTAGTAAAATTCGTCAAATATTTTAATAGGTATTTAAATTCGTATAAATTATTAGGTTAAATATTTTAAACAAAATGGCATTAAACATTAGAAACCACAAACAGATGTGGCATCATTACACGAACTTGTCATGTCGGACATCATTTCCCATATAACTTAAACGTTAATTGGACAATAATAAAAAATTGTCAACTACAGAAAGAAACTCAATATACAACTATAAATTGAAAACAAATTTGTATTAAGAGTTGAAAAAATGTAACTATATTTTCCAATAACATAATAAAGTAGGTACTTAATAAAAAAATCCCAGTTT